TGTGTGTGTGTGTGTGTGTGTGTGTGTGTGTGTGTGTGTGTGTCTGTGTGTGTGTGTGAGTGTATGTGTGTGAGTGCGGCGTATATTCGTGCACTCAGTCGGTGCACGTATAATATTATAGGGATATTGTACTACAATATACAGTTTAGCTGCAATCAGATAAAGTTGGCCATTGACACCTATATACTTGCTGCCCGATACGGTATATATACCGCGTGTGTGCGATAGAGACTGACAATAATTCCTCACTGAACCGCCAATGAATAATTGAAACCTATCAGGACGACGACACCGACGTCGAAAAAACATGTCTATATAGGCCTATAGGCATGTGATGACAAATATTGACTGACGCGTCTGCGCTATTTTGAACCCGATTAATTGGTGTGATCGCCCTGATCGGTAATGGGCACAAACGATCGGATCGACACATTCACAGCTATTAATTTTTCAGTCACAATTATAGCGATCATTATCAATAATATAGCAATAAACCTGATAACAGCTATATAGCGCTCAATTCAAGCAAATACACAACCGAAGATGCGCTATATACAAATGGCTACGCGTACGTGCGCGCGAGCGAAAACATGCACATCGGCTAGGATTTCTTCCAGTCAATTTAATCATACGAGTGTCTATCATATTTCCACTGAGAATAACCTATATCAATATAGATAGCACCTGCGACGCTACATCGCGACTTGCGAAGCTAGTCGAGCCGAGTATATCGTATAGTTTGCAAGTATACGTTGCTCGCCATATACGAACACGCAACCCGCGCGGATGGCAATCCGAATTTACGTTGCTATCACTATAATTAGCAATGGCGATGACATAAATAATTACAATTTCATTTGAAGTGTCTTCAAACGTATTTTCTCTTCAGATCTGCATTTCGTGAGAGTCAATACCCGCTGGCGTGACTACGTAGCCTAGTAGTCAACGCGATCCGGATACCATGGCGGGGATACATGTACGCGCTCAATCGCCGCCATTGATTGCATCTGACGCTCGCAAGTTACGGAGCCCAAGCAGGCAAGCGGATCAATTGTTGTTGCCACGGCAACTTCTAACTGCTCATCAAGGAAGACAATTAATATTTATACGGGGCGCAAATGGGGGCTGCAGCGGCGAATTTTCGTTGAGATGTGTTAATATTTATTTGGAAGCCGCCTCCGCCGCGAAGGCAGTTTTCGTACATTGTATAAAATTAATATGCATTTTGTACTACTATTAGAGTTGGGTGGCGGTGCGGCCATCAGCTCTATAAATATCTCACCGGTAAATAACGTTTCTTTGTAAGAAAAGAAAGCACGCGCAATGGCAAGTTAGCGTTAATGTCATAACACCTACTGAGGGAAATTTCCCTGCGGCTGACGTGGAAAGAAACCCCACAGTAGTGATTTACCGTGTGAGTGGCGTCAATGCGATTTTTGTGACGACGGAAAATGGCGTAAACCGGTGTTTTCCGTCATCACAAAAATGTCATCGTCGATCGACCGTCACGTAACGCGTCAGCTGCCAACCTTACTACAACTCCCTCCCTCCTCCAACCCCGTCGCCTATCTTTCTCTGCCTATCTCTACTTGAACTCGCTTCAAGACTCGGTGACCCCACCCGTGGGGCCAGCGAATAAATAAAAACTGTCGGCAGTCAGTAACGCAGATGGGGTCGTTGTCGTATCAGGTACTACAGATATGTACCCGAGGTAGTTTTAAGTTGTTTAGTATTATGTTTATATTTTTATATAAGGTATGTTTAGGGTTAGGGTTAGGGTTAGGGCTAGGGTTAGGGTTAGGGTTAGGGTTAGACCGTTAGGGTACACTTCTGTAGTACAAGTCTAGTACACTTTGTGTATACATATATGTACCTCGGGTACATATCTGTAGTACCTGATATGACAACGACCCCTTCAGCGTTAGTAACGCACGAAGGGTCGTTGTCGTATCAGGTACTACATATATATGTACCCGAGGTAGTTTTAGGTTGTTTAGTATTATGTTTATATTATTTTTATATGAGGTCTGTTTATGGTTAGGGTTAGGGTTAGGGTTAGGGTTTAGGTTAGGGTTAGGGTACACTTCTGTAGTACAAGTCTGGTACACTTTGTGTATACATATATGTACCTCGGGTACATATATGTAGTCATATATAATTATGTACCTCGGCTACATATATGTAGTACCTGATACGACAACGACCCCTTCAGCGTCAGTAACCTGGACATTTTAGCTCTCACGCAATTTCTAACAGGACCCCCGTAGATGGGCGTGTTATATATATACATGTACATCTCTCTATGTGCACGGCCATGAGTTCACCGCAGAGAGTTCTCCTACTGAAGCCCTTAACACTAGCTTAGCAACGTCAACGGGCGAGCAAATTCCTCGTTGGCAGGCTTTGTGCATAAAAATCGATACTGGTATCTTCCGCAGACAACTAGCGCGTACAGTATGCCTCGCGCGCGCACACACACGCACACACACACATACACACACACACATACTCGCCCGCTCTGTATGTCAATATTGCACTACGCAGCGATCGCTTGGCTGTCTGTGCCGCTGCTGCTGCTGCTGCTGCGCTGCACACAGCTCTCCCTCTAGCCATGCGCTAGAGCGACCTCCACCATTTTCCTTCGCCGCGTTGCGCTATGTATACGTTTAGCGGGTCGTGTAGCAAAGTCGCAGAGAGAGAGAGGGGGGGGGGAGAGCGCACGAACCGGCGATACCGCGGGTGTAAAGGTGGGAGGGGGCACTAGGCAAATGTACCGACGTTGTTTACAGAGGTAAATATCACACTTTGTGCAAACTCGCGTTCGATGCATCGTCAGAGTAGATACGGCTAATGTGTTTACGTGCATGCAGGGTACGTATATATATCGTATATATATATATATATATATATATATATATACACACCTATGTACGTGTGTACCAATAGGGGTCTATACTCTATATACCTGCATAATATATATAGAATATAATTATACACTAACGACTGCTTTGCTGTTGTGCCGCGATAACTGTTGTCATACACTCTCATGCCGTGTATATAGATAGATAGATGGCAACGTCGTGCCATTCTCGTCGCAATGTTATTGCACGTATGTGGCAATATTATATGCGATGTGTTAATCACGCAGCAGCACGATCACCGGTGTATAAATAGATTTCTCGACCTGTTGCTTAGGCGCCTTAATTGTAATCTATCGTCTACATTGATTGATTATATACACGCACGCAGCTTGACGTGTATGTATCCGACGCAGTGGCAGCGACTACAGGTGAAAACAGCTCGATATAATATACCCAGTACTCACCGATTATGGGTGTGGTGACTGCCGTAGAACTGACTGCCGACCCCGACGATGCCGTCGACGACGACAACGACGATGCCGACGTTGTCAACACGGGTGTGTTGAATTGGAACGCCGACGCGCTGGCGCCCGTGCCCGATGTGATGGGCGTCGCGAGTTCGTCGTCGACCAACGTCGGCGTGATCGCCGTAAACGTCGGCGTCGACAGCGGTCCGTTCTTGTACGAATCCAGATTCACCGTGAGCAGGTTGATGTGGCGGTGGTGGTCGAGTCGTACCTTCGATAGTGTGTCCAGTCCTTCCATAATCATAACTGACGGCCGTTGTGTTTTCCTCGGTTGTCCTACGATCGCATACACATTTACGGCGATGCTCGTGTTTGTGTGCGTGGCTTGCGTGTGCGTGGGAGTCTCAGCTGTACCACTCTCACGCGCGGGTAATACCGCTGTTTGTCTCCTCCTCCCTTTTGCGTAGATAGATATACGGTGAGTTATATCGTGCACCGGACTCCAACGCTGCGCTATGAATGAAGCTAGACTACTTTACACGGAATGATTTTATGAATGAAAACGTGACGTAGGTTCTTCCAAATATGGTGCGATGCTGAATGAGCAGCCAATCACAGCGCACTCGGTTGTTTGACCTAGTCGTGTGACGTCAGTATGACGTATTTATAAATAAAAGATACGATCCATTCATTCAAGAAGGCAACGCGATAGCAACTGCTGTTTTTATCGTTTTATACGCAAATATTTGACCATAGTTTGAGATAAGAAACGATATTTGACATGGTTCAACACAATAATGTGCATTTTAAACAAGATATACGGGCGATCGTTGGCAGGCTCACCCCGTATACTTACATGTACATGTACCGATTTCCCCCTTCGAGCCACTTCATTGGCCATTCATCTTTATGAAAGTACGAAGTATTTTTGGAACTTCCTTATAAGGCAGGCGAGAATACCCGAGTTTTGCCGAAGTGCACTCTCGTGTGTAATCGACGAACACGTCACAGCAGATGTACGTAGAACCTCTACAGTAAGTGCGTACGTGTTTATGTGTGCTAGCCATTCGTCGAAAACCGATGTGAAAAAATGTGTGTGAGCAGAGGCTAAGAGCAGAGAGAGGCCTGGCAGCCATGAGCTCACAGAGGCTGAATGCCAAAATGCTTACCAACATGAACTGCGCCATCTATAGTGCTCAGTGTTTTGTTATGTTGTTTAGTGCAATATGCCATCGCGAGTATAAGAATTATTAACTGATTTACGGATAACAATGATTAACAAATACTGATTATCTTATTTAATTATTCCTGATACGATAATGTCAGAAGACGTACGTAATCATTTGTAGAGTGTAACTGGAAAAATTTCATTGGTAGCAGTATATGTAAAATATAGTAGACTATATATTTAAAAGTGATTACGTAAATAGTAAAAGTAAAAAAAAAAAATTCCACTTTTTTACAAAATGTAAGTAATTGTGTTCACTTTTTAAGGTTAAATTGCTGCATTATACTTCTTATTTTACTATATTGTTCGATGTAAACATACACTCGTGACTCATACATAGCCCATAGCAAGCAATTAATGTCAGGAACATAATATCAAATCGTCCAGGTTTTTTTTATATTTTTAACTAGTTGAGAAACAATCTTATTGTAGATTTAGTCCCGTTAGTACTTACTTTTAATGTACAAATATTTTAAAAATATACACCATAGAAAATTCGTGACGTAGTTAAATTAAAGTGTAAATAAGAATTCTCTCTCACCCCTCTCTCTCTCTCTCTCGCTCTCTCTGTGAGTTGCGGCGTATATTCGTGCACTCAGTCGAGTGCACGTTATAATATAATATAGGGATATTGTACTACAATATACAGTTTAGCTTGCATCAATAAAGTTGCGCCATCTGAACCTATATACTTTGTGCCGCGATCGGTATATATACGCGTGTTTTGTGCGCGATAGAGCACTGACTAATAATTCCTCACTTGAACGCCAATGAATAATTGAACCTCTCGGAGCGACGGACACGATCGTCGAAAAAACATGTCTATATAGCCTATAGGCATGTGATGACAAATATTGACTGACGCGTCTGCGCTATTTTGAACCGATGAATTGGCTGTGATCGGCCCTGATCGTAATGGGCAAAACGATCGGATCGATCACATGCACAGGCTATTAATTTTTTCAGTCAAATTATAGCTGATCATTATCAATAATATAGCCAATAAACCTGATAACAGCTATATAGCGCTCAATCAAGACAATACCAACCGAACGATGCGCTATATACAATATGGCTACGCGTACTGTGCGCCGCGATGGCGAAAACATGCAATCGGCTAGGATTTCTTCCAGTCAATTTATATCATACGAGTGTCTGATCATATTTCCACTGCGAATAACCTATATCAATATAGATAGCACCTGCCCGACGTACATCGCAACTTGCGAAGCCTAGTCGCAGCCGATGTATATCGTATAGTTGCACAGTATACGTTGCCTCGCCCATATACGACCACGCCAACCCGCCGCGGATGGCAATGCCGAATTTACGTTGCTATCACGATAATTAGCAATGGCGATGACATAAATATTACAATTTCATTTTGAAGTGTCTTTCAAACGGTATTTTTCTCTTCAGATCTGCATTTCGTGAGACGTAATACCGCTGGCGCTGAATACGTAGCCTAGTTAGTCAACGCGATTCCGGTACCATGGCGGGGCTACATGTACGCGCTCAATCGCTCGCCATTGATTTGATCTGACGCTCGCCCAAGTTACGCGAGCCAAGCAGGCAAGCGGAATCAATTGTTGTGCCACGGCCCAACTTCTAACTGCTTCAATCAAGGATGACAATTAATATTTAGTACGGGCGCAAATGGGGCTGCAGCCCGGCGAATTTTTCGTTGCAGATGTGTTAATAATTTATTTGGAAGCCGCCTCGCGCAGAAGGCCAGTATTCGTACATTGAAATATTAAATTTAATATGCATTTTTGTACTACTATTAGAGTTGCGTGGCGTGCGGCCATCAGCCTCTTAATAAATATCTCACCGGGTAAATAACGTTTCTTTGCTAAGAAAGAAAGCACGCGCAAGTGGCAAGTTAGCGTTCACATGTCATAACACCTATGCAGGGAAATTTCCTGCGGGGCTGACGTGGAAAGAAACCCCACAGTAGTGATTACCGTGTGTGAGTTGGCGTCAATGCGTTTTTGGGACGCGGAAATGGCGTAAGCGCGGTGTTTTCCTCATCACACAAAAATGTCTATCGTCGATCGACCGTCACGTAACACGTCAGCCTGAACAACCTTACTAACACGATGACGTCATTGGATGATACAGTGCGGCGTGCAGCGCGCGCGCGTGTGTGGTGTGTGTGTCGTGTGCTGTGGCTGTGTCGCCTGTGTGTGGGTGTGGGTGTGTGTGTGTGTGTGTGTGTGTGTGTGTGTGTGTGTGTGTGTGTGTGTGTCTGTGTGTGTGACTGTGTGTTGTGTTGTGTGTTGTGTGTGCTGCCTGTGTGTGTGTGTGTGTGTGTGTGGTGGTGTGGTGCGGTGTGTGTGTGTGTGTGTGTGTGTGTGTGTTGGGTGTGTTGAGGTCAATCGGGCCTTGCGCTCGACAATTTCCATTTCATTATTATTACTGTAACATGCATGTCAGTCGCACAGTCGAGATGTGGTGGAAAGGGTAGTGATTACATAGACACGTGCAGACTAGCTTATTCATTTTTCACGAATGAAAAAGGCTACTCTAAAATCATGAGATAATGCATAGAATTCTAGCGTGTGTATAGACTTCAGCCAGCACTTCTCCAATAAATCATACGTTATGGACTGCCTGCCACAGTAATTGATGTATGCCTTGTGATTTCAATAGTATTTACCCTAGATTATTTCTATGATATAATTTCTCAGGTATATACTCGGAATATCTACGGTTAGAAGGATTGGCCGGATGACAGCGCGCGCGTGAATGTTAATCCGATGTAGTCACAATAGAATCGAATATTTGAATGCAAGTTGGCTTATTAGCCAAATAAAAGGTTAGTCCTGTGTGTAGTATAGAGCGTCGTGCTGACCAGATCCGTTTTGCACACTAATCTATACGAGGAATAGTAAACAATGTAAAGGCCACCACGAGCGTTGTTTTTAATTCTAGGGTCACTGTAGAATTAAGAACTGTGAGATAGTACACTTGATCCAATTAGCTACCGAAATGCTAATAAAATACCTATCAAGTAAAACGAAGATAAAAATGAATCTCAACAAAAATGTTCTATAAAAAACCATCTTCCCCACTCGCAAAGCACGTATCGCTCTTGTTACAGCAGGGGCCACACCGCACCAACCCCACACCACCTGACTGGACACCACACTAGCTCACGCACTCCCACCACACACCCACACACCACCCACCCAAACCACCGACGCGCACCCACCACACAGCAGACCCAACCCACGCCTCCACTACGCTACCCACACCCACCCACGCACCCCACACACACCAACACCACCACGCACGCCCACCGCCCACCCCCACACCCCCAGTCATCGCCACCCCACCGCACAACCACGACACAGTCACGACACCCCCCCCCGCACAACCCACACCCACCACCGCTCCTCACGCACGCACGCACACACCACCACCACCCACGCCGGCACCCCCACGCACACCCACAGCCCACCCACGCTCCTCACCGCACACCCCCACCCATGCATGCACCCCCCCCCACACACACACACACACAGACACCACCCACGCACCCCCCGCGCACACACACCCCCAGTAACGACCCAACCGCCCACACCACCCCACCACGCCTCCTCACGCACGCACGACGCACGCACCGGCACGCACGGCACGCATACACACACCAACACACCACACACAGGCGCGCGCGCGCGCGCACCCACACCTTACGCATGACATGGTGCATA